GGGAAAAATAAAGAGAAAATAAAGCGAAAATAAAGACACAAAAATGGAACAAACATATATAATTAATAAAAACAGACAGTGCGTGTTATTGAACCAAAGCCCAGTCCTTTTTTTTTTTTTTCTAAATGTGCGATTTTTTCTTATCCTCAAACATATGTTTTAGATGAGTTTTATCATGGTTGATGGCATATAAACATACATCAAAGGCACAAACATACATACAAGTTTTGCAGGTACAACAACAACAGTTTATTTGATCAGTTATGTTTTCTATATTGCAATAAAACATTTCTTTACACTTCATGTATAATCGATGCCTTTTGACATTATTTTGTAAAAAAAATTCAGCAGGTAACACTTCCAAAGAGTAAATTGATAGTGTGCAATGGTCCAAGACTATGCAAAAAGGACAAAAATCACAACCAAGGAACATGAAGAGGAGAAAAATCAACAAATAGTGAAATTCCAGTGCACGGTGATTCCTACAACAATTAACTATTGATTTTTATTTAATATTTTAGAATCATATTAATACTGTTGTCTTAAGATTAGTGTGATTGAACATACCTTTGCAGTGGTTAATATTTACCTTCTTGCCATACGAGTTGCTGCGAATCTCATCTTAATCTATATTTTATATCATGTTTCTCCTCCATTAAAAAAATGGTACGAATAGTTTATTTTGAGAATGCTATCAACATATCACAGTATCAAATAGTTTATAATGGTTCTGATACAATTTAAGAACTTGCCTGTCAAGTAATTTTTCAAGCCAGATTCATTCCTTAGTTATTAAACCATGCTGCAACATCTTCATTGATAAGATATTGTAAACATATATATGATTCCACCACAAGGAAAAAAATATTACCCGAACTTGCTGAGGTAAGGCACTCAATCCAAAGTCAGAGACTTTGAGAAGTTTATTTCCTAGCTTGGTATCCTTTCAGCCTCCCTCTACAAGCCTAACAACAATAAACAAGGAATGAACATTTAAAAAATTTGTTTACACAATTTCAGATAAAATGACACGGTTTCAGACAATACACATTTGAATCCTCGATCATTTCCCAAAAAAAGTACACATTCCACATTTGTTTACACAAATTTAAATAAAAATTTGGTTTGAATCGGTGATGTTATAACCAAAATTAACAAAGATTAAAAAATTTGCACAATTTTAAACAATACGAGTTTGAATAAATTATATCTTCACAGATAAAACAAAGTCATATTATTACAGAAGTTTGGATCAAAATTTGTTAGGATTTTTCATGCAATGAAAGAAAAAATGAACAATCACATAGAAACATGCTATAAAATACAAATTGAGTTTCAATTTAATGTTTTAAAACAAAATCTTAATTTTTTTTGCAAAATGATAACAAACCTTCAAATAAAGCGATCACCGCATTTGATCTTCGATTTGTTCTTCAAAATCAAAGGTTAACGTCTTTGATTGATTGTTAAATTCGGGCCTGAAATAGCGTATTTTTTTCAATTTCTACCTCTACCTTGTCGATCTGGAAATATGTAGTGCTGCTGAGCTGATAGAAATTGGAAAGTGTACATATTTTTTTTTTTTTTTTTTAATTTTTTGACAATTCTTGGAGAAAATAGGGAGGTTGGGACAATGAGCTGAGAATGGCAAGTTTCCACCGCCTGACTGAATTTTGTGCCGTCGGACATAGAAAAAGTAAGAGATAATTGCCAAAAAAACTCAACCTTTAGTTAAGTTACAAATAAAACTAACTTTTTAATTTTGCACAAAATACAAACCTTTATAAGTTTCGCAATGTTGTCTCAGACCTGAATTCCGGTCAAGCATGCTGACATGTCCAATCGAAAAATTGACGGGCACCCAAAAATTTAATAATCAGTGC